ATCTTGTATATATTCTATCATGCCAGCAGTTATCGCCAGGAAATGTAACAGGATACTGTTAAAACGTTGACCTCTGATGGTGTGAGAGTTTTGACCAGATAAAATGGCCCAGAATCAGCAGAGAAAATGGGTTTAAGCACATTCTTCCATTAGTCTCCTGTCAGTTCCGTGCCTCACCTATTGTTCCCCCGATATACAAAACAGTGTGTATGTGATGGTGCTATGGTGAGTGGGAGGTGTAGTGGGGGGATTGGGAGGTGTAGTGGGGGGGATTGGGAGGTGTAGTGGGGGGGATTGGGAGGTGTAGTGGGGGGATTGGGAGGTATAGTGCTGGGATTGGGAGGTGTAGTGGGGGGATTGGGAGGTATAGTGCTGGGATTGGGAGGTGTAGTGGAGTGCAATGCAGGGGGTAACTTGAAGCAGGATGTGTTGTATCAGTGGTCGCCAGCGTAACATGTTGGGCAACTACACCAGTGACTGCTGCATGGTGTTTACATGCTGATTCAGTACACTGTTGTTGTTGTTGTTGATGGTGCGGGTTTATAACGAAATTTGACATGTTCGGTTAACGTGATAGTTAACCGAACTGGCCGCTGTTGTTAGGGCGGATCGAGGGGCCTCGCTGTTAGGGTACACAGCCGAACTAGAGAGACACGTCAGTTCAAGGCCATGCAAGCCTGCTTGATGTGGCACCGTAGGACTACGTAGGCCTAGCAAGTCGCTACACCGAACGGCCGGTTCCGACTGGTGAGGCTCACAGCTGGGGGCGCTGCTAGGGATGTTAGCAGTATGCTAGGCTCTGTTAGAAGGGCCAGGCAGGGGGAAGGTAGAGGCTGGAGGGAGGTGAGTCGGGCCTGGTGAGAGGCTCCAGCTCCTGGTCTCAACTCTCCCAGCCTCCTGGTGTCCCACAGTGGCTGGTCTCCGGTACGGGGGTCCCTCACCTCTATCCTCACACACACCACACTCCCGCTCCAGTCATTCATCTTACTTGATCATAATAACATGTCTACAAGAAACACTTCTACCAATATATATATATATATATATATATATATATATATATATATATATATATATATATATATATATATATATATATATATATATATATATATATATATATATATATATATATATATAAAATTGTGTGTCAGTTATCTAGTAGAAATGGTAGAGGAATAACATAAAGAGTGTTGGTACATTAGAACATATATACCTATAGTTTACCTGTAGTGGGTTTCGAGAGATCTTTTTCTCTCCAAATCGGCTGGGGTCGTATTCAATAATTTCTACAGACATTTGAAGACAATTGCGACGTGGTATAACCAAACATACTCGCCTGGTGATAGGCCTTTGAGGCTGACTTCTAAGAGAGAGAGAGAGAGGTTTGAGGCAATATATCTATCTTCAAATTATTCTCACAGCCTGCCACGTCACTCTGGTAACATCTTGATCTGTGGGGCTGTTGCTTGCAGCAGCCCGCATGCCCACATGCCCACCTCAATACCCTGATAATCAAGAAGAGGAACAGTAGGCACACTGGCTCAGGTGTGGAGGGTTACAAACGTTAATTAAGGTCAGAACTGGTGGACTGATGGTGGGGTGTGAACACCAAGGCCCCTCCCCGCCCCCCTCCACCCCTAACACCCCCCCTACCCACCTCCATCCCCCACCATCCCCTAACCCCTCCCCTCCTCCATCCCCCCAACACCTGACTCCCTCCCCACCGCCTCTAGGCCTCTCCCATCTCCCCTCTCAACTGGATTCAGGTGAGTGGGACAAGTTTTTACGTGGGCGAGGCGGTGGTGCCCTCCCCCCCCCACCCCCCCAGGGTGTGGTGGCAGTGGTGGTAGGGTGTGGGGTGGTAGTGGGGTGTGGGGTGGGGTGTGGGGTGGGGTGGTAGGGTGTGGTGGTAGGGTGTGGTGGTAGTGTGCGGTGGTAGGGTGTGGTGGTGTGGTAGGTGGTGGTAATGGGATGTGGTGGTAGTGGGGTGTGGGGTGTGTGAGGCAGCAGGGAGTGTGAGGCAGTAGGGTGTGTGAGGCAGCAGGGAGTGTGAGGCAGTAGGGTGAGTGAGGCAGTAGGGTGAGTGAGGCAGCAGGTTGTGTGAGGCAGCAGGGTGAGTGAGGCAGCAGGGTGAGTGAGGCAGCAGGGTGTGTGAGGCAGCAGGGTGAGTGAGGCAGCAGGGTGAGTGAGGCAGCAGGGTGAGTGAGGCAGCAGGGTGAGTGAGGCAGCAGGGTGAGTGAGGCAGCAGGGTGTGTGAGGCAGCAGGGTGTGTGAGGCAGCAGTGTGTGTGAGGCAGCAGGGTGAGTGAGGCAGCAGGGTGTGTGAGGCAGCAGGGTGAGTGAGGCAGCAGGATGAGTGAAGCAGCAGGGTGTGTGAGGCAGCAGGGTGAGTGAGGCAGCAGGATGAGTGAAGCAGCAGGGTGTGTGAGGCAGCAGGGTGAGTGAAGCAGCAGGATGAGTGAAGCAGCAGGGTGAGTGAAGCAGCAGGATGAGTGAAG